TTTTGTTGTTGTTGTTGTTGGACCATTTCTCGATTTATGCGTGTCATCCTTGTGCAGGGGCGGCCACGCAATCTTCTCTGCATCGTTCCAATTTCAGTGGACATCCCGAAGGACTTCTTTTGTGGAGCAGCACTTTTTTTTTTTTTCCTGTCGCTGTAAGCAACTTGAATCTGAGCAGCCAAGAATCTCACTCACTTCTCGAGGGCAGGGGTGCAAGAAGGGCTAGCTCAGTTGGTACACCCATGAACTGTTGAAATACAGATCCAAGGTTCAAATCCGGTTACCATACGATGAGTCGGACGAGCAGAGTAGAATCATTCTGAAATGCCTGGGTCCTGCCAGTTCAGTGATGATATCAAGAGAGAGAGAGAGAGAGAGAGAGAGAGTACTAACCTTTGGTTCAGAGGATGGCACACCTTTGGTGGCATGAGATCGACGAGAGAACTCTGGCTGATTATTAGTCGCCTGAACCCAGGACCAGATTCTATCTTGCACATTCACAAAATTCTGTGTGTCCGTGACTCGCTGGTGGACAAAATGTTGAAGCCAAAACCAAAACCAAAACCAAACCAAGCGAAACCAATCCGCGAGTTTATGCAAAGTTGCAAACACACAGACTACATGGTGTCATATTTCTTTCCAAAATTGAAAATTGAAAATTGAAAAAAAAATAAAAAAATAAAAAAAAATTGAAAATTGAAAATTGAAAGTTAAAAATTAAAAATTGAAAATTCAAACTTGAAAATTAAAAATTAAAAATTAAAAATTAAAAATTGAAAATTGAAAACTGAAAACTGAAAATTGAAAACTGAAAACTGAAAACTGAAAATTAAAAATTGGGAATTGAAAATTGAAAATGCAAGATAACTATTCATTAATTGAAATTCATTCACAATTTTTAAGTGCATTTGACCTTTGGAACGGTATTTGCACCTTTAGGTGAGCTTCTTTTTTTTTTTTTTTTTTTTTTTTTTTTTTTTTTTTTTTTTTTCTCCTTTGTTCCGTTTTCTTTGCAGAATCGTGGAATTTCACTCATCTCCTCCCCGTAAATTTTGCGTGTGGGGTACCCTTTTTGTGAAATGAAATGAAATGCCCCCAAATTCGGCTACGATCAAGTGCACTGTATCTGTTCCGACAATCAGTTTCATATCTGATCCATGGTCCATCGGGCCACATTAAAAAAAAAAAAGAAAAAGAAAGAAAAAGGAAAGGGAACTGGCCCCAGGGGCCAAGTCCCATTAGCAGTGTTGAGCTACCTCAACGCCTGAATCTGGACGTTTTTGTGGAGACGTGCAGTTCAGGTAACTCAACACCAGTTCTGCACATATCCGCAAAAGCGTCCAGATTCAGGCGTTGAGGTAGCTCAATGCTGCTAGTGGGACTTGGCCCCAGCTAAGGGCCAGCTTCCCTTTTCATTTCATGATAGACAACAGGACATTTGTGGTTGAACACAGAGCACCGATTGCCTTCAGCCGAAGACAAGGGTTTAATTTCAAATTAATTGTCAATATGTCAGACCCTTCCCCCCCCCCCCC